CCCCCCGGTCAATGGTGTCCCTCTTTACCAATCTGAAAATCTGGTCACCTTAAAGATACCTCAAACATCCAGGTCTTGGTTGTCTCAAATGTGCTTTTGCAAAAAGTAACTGGGCATTTTTTGTTTGTTTGTTTTTTTCCTTGAAAACATTTTACTTCACATCCTGGAAGAAACTTCTTGGATGGGAAGTGAAGCATTTTCAAGGAAAAAAAACAAGAAAGTCCAATTGCTTTTTGAAAAAGCACATTTGAGACATTGAATTGGAATTACTCAAAGTAAATATGTGTAATGCACAGGATTACACCATGTAACTTCTTAAATAATGTTACATGATTATTTGTATTGCTATCATAAAGTTGCTTAAAATGTGTGTTTTTACTCTACAGGAATCTGGTGTAGTTCCATCACACACTGTTGAAGGATCCACTAAAGGTAAACATTTTGTTGTAATACAGTCTCTTAGTTTAAAAATGAAAATTTTATTTACCTTATTCTGAAGTCTAGATAGTTAATTAAAAATGGGAGAAACAGAAATTATTGCAACAATTGCACAGAAAAGCAGTATAAAAATAGACTAAATGCTGCTGATGAAAAAGGATCCTTTTGATCAAACTCATTGTCATCCATTTATCAGCAAATTGGAAACTTTGAAGCAAATTTAGGCATGAGAAGCGAAGACGTAACATATGCTCTATTGTATGATTGTTTGGTGCTTTTGAAATTAACTCAATACTTATGCATTCCCTTCTGCTTTTTTGTTCCATTTCCTGTGCAATATTTAAAAATGCAAGGCAGACTTTAACAGCTTGGATGCATTAAATATTAATTATTATTAACAACTATTAAAATTTAGCTGTTCCAGTATATCTTGGGGGTGGATATGGTGTGAGCCTGTCCCTTCCCGCAATGAGAGTATCATTTATAAGAGTTCTATGGTTACCTTGTACATGAAATGGATGTTGTTGTAAATTGATCTCTTGTTTAATTTCAGTTTTGATTGTTTTGAGAGTGCGGCCTGGAGCCCCTCCACTGAGTGCAGAAGCAGAAGTGGATGGTGGCCCGGAGCCGCCTCTCATCCCAGAGTGTATGGTACGAATGGCCTGCTGGGGAGAACGGGGGCCGCGGGAGGGGAGGAAGGGGGGACGGGGATGGGCTGGAGCATCCCGGTCATGTTTGGGAGAGGCAGGTACGACGGGAGTTACAGGGCTAGCCATCACCGGGGAAGTAGGGTTCGCTATGTCACAGCGATCCCTCCTTCCGGCCCTGATAGCTCAACTCAAGGACCGGGTGGCGAGAGATGTCAGGGCGCTGGTCTCAGGTTGCTGTTGCTAAATGCCAGGTCTGTGATTCATAAAGCTCCCCTCGACCGTGACTTAATATTAGACGAGGGGGCAGACCTGGCATGTATTACTGAAACCTGGCTGGGCCACGAGGGAGGAGTCCCCCTC